GTGTGGGTCTGCCCGTTGTGCCCTCGTCCTCCTGGCCCTGGGGCAGCACGGGGCTCCCACAGCCTCTGCCCTGCAGCACCTGCACAGGGCGTGGCCCCATTCTCAGCCCTGGCTCCCCGAGTCCTCGCTGACACAGTGGTCAGGACAAAGGGTGACACTGAGGCTCCACCCTCCAGACAGGGGAACAGTGACACGTGTCTGTCACAGAGCTGAGGACAGGAGGACACAGGGGCCCTCCCACCTCACTTCTGTGTCCTGATATGAGAGAGGCATGGCCCTGCCTTAGGGGCTTCCGTCCACACACACGGGCATCCCCACACCACACAGAGACTTGCACACACACATGGGCAGATGTGTGTGGGTACGCCATGTGCATACCAGGTGCACATAGCACATGCAAGCACACATTGTACACAGAGACAAACACAGCCTATGCGCACACACACATGCACACATACCACATGCACATCACAGGCCCCACATATAGAGATACACGTACCACAGAGAGACTTGCACACACACATGGGCAGAAGCAGGTGTGTACACCATATGCATACCAGGCGCACATACACACGCAAGCACACGTTATACACAGAGACAAACACACTCAATGTGCACACACACATGCACACATACCACATGCACATCACAGGCCACACATACAGAGATACACGTACCACACAGAGACTTGCACACGGGCAGACACGGGTGTGTACACCATGTGCATACCAGTCACATAGCACACACAAGCACATGTTATACACAGAGACACACTCACACCATGTGCACACACACAAGCACACATACCAAATGCACATCACAGACCCCATATACAGAGATACACGTACCACGCAGAGACTTGCACACACACATGGGCAGACACGGGTGTGTACACCATATGCATACCAGGTGCACATACACACGCAAGCACACGTTATACACAGAGACAAACACACTCAGCCTATGTATACACACATACCACATGCACATCACAGGCCCCACATACAGAGATACACATACCATGCAGAGACTTGCACACACACATGGGCAGATGCATGTGTGTACACCATATGCATACCAGGTGCACATACACATGAAAGCACACATTGTACACAGAGATGAACACACTCACACCACGTGCACAACACACAGGCACTGTCATGATGCACATAGTACATGCATGTACACACAGAGAGACACATACTACACACACACGGGTAGGTATGTACATGCGTGTCTAACATAGGCACACCATGTGCACACACCACATACAGGCATGCATGCACATCACATGCAGAGATAAACACACTCCCACCATATACACACACGCTTGCACATGTTCATGCCACAGGCACCACACAGAGAGATATAGACAGACACTATACATGCCACACATGGCACATACATGTGCGGGCATGCACATGTGCACACCACAAGGAGACACAGTCTCCTAGAACCAGTGTGTTCCCTCTGTCCTGGGCCCACACACACAGGGCACCTGGGCAAGCCTCGGCAGCCACAGGCAAGGCCCCGCCCCTGCAGAAGCAGCCACCCGCCACTCCCAGCAGAGGGCAGGCCGGGC